CGAACTGTGCAACTATAATATTGCCATTAACAGACATGCTATCGCAACGAAAAGAAAAAAGAACTGCAAATCGTACTATCGAAGATTTAATTAAAATCTTTTAACGATGCAAAAGACGCGTTGCAAAAATGTACAAAATTGTCGGTATATTAATCCATCCGAAAATTCCAAACTAACACTCACGACAGATGCATCGGCTGACACAATTGGAGCAGTACTACACCAGATTACTAACAATGTAGAGAAACCACTATCATTTTTTCTCGATAAAGTTAAACACTACCCAGAGGAAATATAGTACGTTCTCAAGAGAATTATTGGCAGTATACCTAGCAATACGACATTTTAGACACATTCTAGAAGGAAGAAATTTCGTAGTCTTCACCGACCATAAACCACTTACATATGCATTACATGCAAAGGCTGACAAATTAAATCACGAGACCTAAGACATTTAGATTACATCAGCCAGTACACAGCAGATATCCGATACGTAAAGGTCAGAATAACACAGTAGCGGACGCATTGTCAGAACTACGCTCAACGCACTACAATCACAACCACTAAACTTTGACACTCTCGCTGAGGAACAAGCAAACGACAACGAATTACCGTCTGTACAAAAAGATACCTCACTTCAAATTGAAAAAGACCTTTACCCTTTACTAATGAACTGTAGTATTGTGACGTTTCCACAGGTAATCCTCGACCGTACTTACCTTTGTCGCGAAGAAAATCAATTTTCGATCATTTCCATTCGCCAGCTCACCCTGGACAGCGAAGGCTACGCTATGACCATAGCTGACAGATACGTCTGGCCCGGTATGTCCCGGACGTGAAACAGTGGTCTCAAGACGCGCCAACGTTGCCACAAAAACGAAAAATACACCGACATACCAAAGCACCATCGTCGACCTTCGCGACACCAGATGGACGACGATTACGACATACACGAGAGACTTAGTCGGTCCACTCGAAAAAATTAATGGACACGAGTACATTCTAACGATCATTGACCGCTTTCTGGCGATGGCCAGTTGCGATACCACTAACATCAATAACGGCAGAAACAGTGGCTAACGCAATTTTCAACAACTGGATTTCTATATTTGGATGCCCTGCAGTTATCACAACTGACAGAGGTCCCCAATTTCAATCAACGCTATTCAACGAATTTGTCAACATTTTAGGCATAAAACACATCTCTACCACCGATACCACCCATGCAGCAACGGAATAGTGGAGAGATTCCATAGACAGCTCAAGCACGATTAACAGCGTCTACCAGTGCTGCGTGACGTGGGTAGATAAGCTACCATTTGTGATGCTTGCGCTGCGTAAATACAATAAAACTGGATCTCAAATGCACCAGTGCAGAATTAGTTTTTGGGAAAGCAACAACGCTGCCTGGACAGATATTTTACAACGAGACGACATCTACACCAACGAATTACTTTGTGGCAGACCTAAAAAAGAAGATGATGGACGTTATATATACACCCACATAGAGCGTATAAAAAACCTTTCTACGTGCCAGCAGATCTACATTCAGCAGAATATGTTTTCCTGAGGCGCGACACTGTCACGGGAAACCATTAACGCCCAACTACACAGGTCCACACCTGGTAATATCTAAAACACCCAAATTCTTCTATAATTGATATCGCGGTAAACAGAACACCGTCAGTATAGACCGTCTCAAACCGGCATATCTGCAATCCGACGACACAGATCGAACAATAACAAAACCGACGACAACAGAACAAACAGAAACGCAAACAACTACTGATACGACCGAATCAACACAGTCTACCCCGTACAAAATCAGGAAGGAATGTTCACTGGCCAACCAAGTACCGAACCTACATTACATATTAATGCTCATTCACCAAGGCATTAATCTGGGGGAGGTATTGTGGACTCTTCTAATTTTCTAACCTTCTCCAACCTTAAAAAAGCATAATCCATATTATACGCCTACGGCGCAGATAACGCTCAACCAATAAAAATGCAAAGAATCGAATCAAGCAATTCTATTGGTAGATCGCCTCCCAAAAGCAAGAATTGCGAAAAATATCTTGAGCCACTTTCGAAAACCCAAAAGGTTATAAAAGGAGAAAAGACAACCCCAGTCAGTCAGTCTAGCGAACTCGCCGATCGATTGCCTAATTAATCCACGACATTCAAAAACAGAATTTTACCGCGCATTTTGATCTTAACTTCAACTGACTCACCTGAAACACTCAACTAACAACTATCGAAACTTTGAACAATATTTCTTATGCACATTGATTTATTCATTACTAAAAATAAGAAATACGAATCACGAAAACAAACACAGACACGTTCAAAGGTAGACTACTTTTAGCAAACTTTACCAAAAACTCTTATTATATATTTCAACACAAACACAAAATAACAAACATAACGACACAGAGACATCCAACATTTCAGCAACATATACAATTAACACGCAACAATACAAATATTAACCTTTTTTGTAAATATGTAATTGTATATAAATGTTTTATTTGTTTCGATCTATAAATGTCTCGTTTTTACTTTGTTTGAAATCTCATGTTTGTTATATATTTGTTTGGGACAAGGTTTAGACACACAACCGATCCGAACAAAATCCTTCTGATTAATTAAATGAACCAAAAGTCCCAACAAAACTATAAAATTCGACTGTAAATAGGAGTTAGTGATTTTTTTTTTTTTTTTTTGTTGCAAACTTTGAATTGATATACCCAGTCTCAGTTTCCTTTTTGTTTTAAGCTTTCAAACTACATTAATAAAATAAGCTCTAGTGCCAAACAGTAATGGAATTAATTTCAAAATCGCACTAAATGATGAAAAGTAATTTTTTTTTAAATAAACATTATTAAATTTAGATTTGTTTTTTCTGTCAAATTCGAAAGAAAATTGTGTTTTATTAAATTATGCAAACACCAATTCTCAAATAACATTATTTTTGGAGTTTTAGTCAGTTGTTATTGGCAAAAGATGCAAGTCGAATTTTCCATATCTTCATATTTGGTATTGCATAATTTTTTACTGAAATATCTTTAGGGATTTCTTTTTATATAACTGTAAAAAATCTGAACAAACCCCTCTCCAAAAATTAAAAGTATACACACAATGTCAAAAAGGAGGTGGGGGAGTAAAACATATCCCCAAAGAAATATTTCTTCAAAGTTATTTTTTAATAAAATAACCCATTCAGTAAAATATGCATGAATTAATGAATAAGTCCTGAAAATTTTGTTTGGATTGGATAATTTGCTAATTGTTGGCAAATATTTTAAATCTGAGTTTGTTGATTTTTTATTGCTGAAAAAAGTGTCCATTGTGGTGGTGCCAAGGCTTATTTGCATGTAGGTGAATGTTTAGTTTTCAATTTTCAAACATTTTCTTTAATTTTATTGGTTGTTAAATAAAAATTTGCTTCGAGAAATTTCCATAACAAAACAGTCAAAATTTGTGCAAGAATAGGCTCAACTGACATAAAAAAAAATCTTTCTCAAATTCATCACTAATTTAAATGTTTCAAGAAATCCTATTGATTAAAAAATAAAAAATACAACATTCGCCCACACATTTCTCAGAAAAATTCACAACAAACTACCAAGCCACTGGAGCCGATTTTGTTGTTAAAAAAACTATAAATAGAAATAGCAAACAAATTTTCGTCGCATTTTGTGACTCACACACACAAAGATACATACATGAATTATGTGTCAAAGTTGCCACTGTTATAGACAAGCGTATGGTTGCAAGAAAGAAATACTACAACAGCAAAAATACATTTACGTGATTTATTTCAATATGAACGTGTGGTTTTGGGACAGCTACCTTGTGGTATAGTTCATAAGCCGGCTGCTGATCTGGGATGATCTCTCATAGTAGTTCTCGCTGGTTGGCGTGGCGCTCCTCCTGCTGACTGCTGCTGACTGACGATATTCAGTCCCCCCCCCCCCATGAGGGTGTCATGTGGCACAAGGCCTTTTTAACGTGGCCATTCCCAGCTCGTGGGCTCGGCCAAAAATATGCCCATTGAACCCATATAAACGGGTTCAGAGCTGGTTTTACCTCCCCGAAGGAGACTCCACCCTTCGGCGTAGCCTCCTTCGGGTTCCTCCCGTCCGTAGGAAGAGAGTACAACCGAACAGTCGCTCAGAAAGTACTGGGTCGACTGACAGTGACAGGTCTTTTCCCTGGCCTCCTGTTGACTGCTAGTACTTCCCCATGTGACCCCTTTTATAGCGTTTTTTATGGCTTAACAGGCTCGAAAAACGACGCGAGTATAATTAGGAGGGAAGAATTTTTATTGGTCGAAAAATAGAAACACTTTAAAATATTATTTTATTTTTCGACCAGAACTCATGCGTCGGGCCTATGCGTAAACAACGATAATGGTCATTTTGTGATGGGGCCTGGTCCCATTCACATCCGGCTCTTGCTCTTGAGTATGTTAGTTTATTTGCCTGCAAATCAGCTGAGATATGTCTTATTTTATTTTATAACACCACCAAAGAAATAAACTTTCTTTATGAGAGATTAGAAAAATTCATACAACTTTTTCACTTAATATCTTTCATAGAAAAATCTTTTGTCTAAGTTAAATTCAACCTTTCAATCAAAGGCAGACAACTTTTTAGACAGTGAACATTTCTGAAACAGCAAAGAACTTTTTCTCTAAAATATACATTTGCACACATCATTACAGACAAAGAAATTGTAAATTGTGTATATAAAATTTAATTTGTTGTTTCAAACATGTATTTTTTGTCGTGATTGAATATCGTTACCATTTGGCCATTTCTTATAATTTATGTTTGTGGATATTGCATATTCTATTTGCAGCACTATCTCAAATATTCACGCAGCCTTCTTAGATCCGCTACAAATGTACCAAACCCAACTGGAATTGGAATTCAGCTCTTGGATTTCTCATTCAAAGCCGATATCCTTTACACTACTCGCACATCCCCAAGCAACCAGCACCTGGTATTCCCAAGCAGTCACCCATCCAGGTACTGACCAGACTCAATGTTGCTTAGCTTCAATGATCAGATAAGAACTAGTATTTTAACATGACATGGCCATAAACAACAACTATAACAAAATATTCCAATAACAATCATAAATATGAAAGGAAATCATTAATTAAGGAAGTAAGAGGGTACAAATTAAAAGATTCAAAATTGACATGTTCTTCCATTTTACTGAGGCAGACGTTAAACAAATGTGAGCATTATCGCCTCCTCTATCTCTCCCTCCTTTCTTTCTTATTATGTATTGTTTTTTATCATTTCACCCCCGAGCAAGGCAATAAAGCCACTAAGATGCAGAGGATTACTGAATGTGACAGAATATGAGAATAAGAAAACATTATTAAAGAGCACGAACAATAAATGTACAGGAATTAAGAAGACAGAAGATAACAATTGACACTGCATTTAAATTTTTGAAGCTGACTGGAAAGCAAGAAGGCTGGAAGTGAGTTCGATAAACAAGAAATTCTGTTAGCATAGAATTTACAAATGTTTTCTTTTTCTTGCTGAAACAAAACTGATATATTTTTTCTTCCATTTTTGCTCACAATCAAAAAAGTGGTCCATTATTTAACTGAGGTAATGGCAGGGTGGAAGGCACATGTTAAATCACTTACCAACAGGGGTACAAGCAGCATTATATTATGATGTTACATGTTTTTACACTGAGTCATTGGTGATTTTCTAAGCATAACTTAGATGTGGTACAAGGCCAAAAGTATAGAGCTATGTCATCTCTGTATGTTATATATGGTAAGCTAGCCACATGACAACTCCCACTAGGCAGCTTTACTACATTGTGTCTTGAGCATGCGTGCAATGCGACTTGAAATTCATAGAGATTGATCTAGATAACCAATGGCAGACTGGCTAGGGTGTGAGTTTGCCCATTGGCAAGTGGACTCCCTATATTAAATAAAAATGCAATACAGAAATAAACTGCAGAGCATGGCTTACCTAGTACGAAGCATGTTCAAGTTGCCACAGCTGTAGCAGGAAATCCAGTTCAAGGCCTGTGTGCACGCATGTGCAATGGCTGTCATTTTATGAAATGAAAATCACACCTATGCAAATGTAGCTGCTTACAATATAAGTGACTACATTGCTTGCTAGCAGAAAGAGGTATATGATCAAACTGTAGTATCTGTTCCATGGCCTTGACTAACTATGTCTTGCTAAGACAAGTTTTGTGCCCGATCCTGCATGACTTGTGGCTGGGCAAATTTGGACCAATGGCTTGAGCATTCATGCTCGAACTCCCTACGTTAAATAACCAACCTTGTGTCACAACCTAACCCAGTGGTGGTGGGAGGGGTCTCTGGTAAATACTGAGATGGAACTCTGAAGACGATGCTAGTGGTGTGTACTACAGTTGAGAAAGCGCTAAACATGATGTCTATATTATCTCATTTTTTCTTGCTGATGTGACCTCCATCTTCTGGCTTTCTCCTTCTATGTTTTGGATAGGAGTCATTTCTTTGTTCAAATTTAAATTTAATTTAAATCAAGGGGAAAAAATCAGTAGGGTTTTTGTGCCCAGCGCTGGGCACAAAACCCTACCCCTTTGATCAAAATGAAATATATTTATCTGAGTACACTGGGTAATGTAGTTTCAGAATATATATGGTTGGGTCTATCTCCAAGACCCTAGGAGGACTTCAATAACAAGCAAATAGACAGACAGAGCCTACAACTTTATATATAGAGATTATGAAAATGAAATGATAGTATTATCGTTGTGGGTGGATACCCTTTGTCTCTTAGCAACCAATATTTTTAGATCCAATTTGCCATGGCAAATAACTACAAGTGATTTGTGCCGCAACAGAGTGTCCGAGAAGGTGTCAAGGATATGCATATGCATCAGATGGAGAATGAGAGACAAGGCAAGGGGTAAGCATGGCAAAAGTAAGTTCACGCTCCACATACCAGTTATGCATGAATTACCTGCAGACAAGTTTGCTGTTCAAGAATTAAATTCCTGACTCATTCTAGGTGTGGCTCATTTTGCAGGACTGATTTTAACCAACCAAGGGTGCTACTGTAGCGATATCATTATTATTATAAATAAATAATAATAATAATATTGAAAATTATAAATAAAATAAAATAAAACAATAATATTTAAATCATGTTTAAAATAAATTAAGTAAAAATAATAAAATTACTCCCAGCATGGAACAAAAGCTGTTTCTGTCATAAATACGGACATCTTGCCAAAAGACATTACATTCAATCTCTTCGTCAAGAACCTCCAGGAAGGCAGCTGTCTGTGATATGGCTTGAAATACTAGGGAGTAAATTTCTCCCTTTTATCACATGTACCATGACACTATTGTAGCATAAAAAAGTATATATATGCCTATACACACAAATATAAAAAATAAAATTATATGAAATTAACATATAATTTACCAATTTTTTTCCTGTTATTGTATATGTTTATTTTCCTGTTTTTATCTTCATGAATAGAATACAAGCTTAAAATTCCACTACTATGGTATAAGTGAATATCCTATACTACTGTAATGGCTGGTGGTAGATGGACCAATACTATTTAATTGATATTTCCAACGTATAGGATTCAAGTAAACAACAATAACTCCAAATTGTTAATCAACAAATATATATTGAAATAACATACAAGAACAAACATGCAATAAAATTGTGTTCAATGTATAGATTAAGGGAAAGAAGTTATTCCCCTTTAACTGTAGATTGATTTGTAATTGCTTGTTCGAAGAAAGTTCTCGAGAGAAAAATGTTCAGAAATCAATATTAGAGCAAAGTTTGCATGTTAAGAATAAATAACACAAGAATATAATTAATTAAAAATGTGTTGTGTTATAGAATGGTTTGAATCAACAGTTCTGGTTGATTGTACTTTGCAAAGTCACAGAGAGAAAATGTAAGTTTATATTACGAAATTCTGTGTCTGCGTGTGCGTTGAGCAAGATAGTGGATTTGTGTTGACAGCTGGGATCTTACTGACGACTTGTGAAAAGTCGCCCCTTTTAAGAAAAAAGGGTAGGCTCTAATGGAAACACGGGAAAACTTAACCTTGCATTAAAAATATGTGATTGGTTAAAAATTAACCAATCACTACACTCATACTAACAGAACAGGCAAGCAAGCTCAAACCCAAAGGATTCAAAGAAACAACCGACTGCGATGGCTAAATTGTCCTATATAAAGGTAGTAGTGATTTATTAGCCAAACACAGATGATTAAAATGTGGGTGTGGAAAAACATAGCAACTGCTACACTACCTTTAACTTATAAGATAGACAGTTTCCAACTGAAAAATGAAAACATCCCTAAATGGAATCATCTTGAATATTTTAATCTTGTAAGAATGCAAGTTTTAGGTTGTAATTCCTTTTCTTTTTTTAATTTTTACTATTTCCCTCCCTTTCTCTATCTGCCATATTTATATATTATGACATAGTATGCAAGATGGGATATGTGATTAAACACTTGATGTTTAAAATTTCATTCTGTTGTTAACATTTTGTTTCCGCCCTGCTCCCGGCATTCTCTTTTGTTATGATGCATGTCAACCTCCCCAAGTTTTTTTTTTTTTTTTTTGCTTCCACCCACTTTTTCTCTTGACTCGATCAACCTTTGATAATTCTCCACTCCGTAATTTATTTTGTCTCTTCCTTGCCCCTAGCAAGTGAGCTGCTTCATTCTACTTAATACAGTAGACACTCTTATTTTTCTATGGGAAGGACAGGTCCTATTAAAATATTTTAATTTTATTTTAAACGTTTTGTTGTATTTTATTTTCATTATTCAGTACATCTCCTCCTCCCCACTCACATTTTGTTATAATTTTATATATTTTTATATTAAAAAAAAAAACAAAAAAAACACCAGTCGTATATATTTTCATGTCATAGCTGTTTTAGTAATACCCCTGTGAATATGCAATATTATAGTATGTGTTGGATTGAATGGCGATAAATGAGTTCTTGTGGTGTATGAGTAAATTGTAATGAATGAATGGGTTGTGAACCAGATTAACTAGTTGTTGGATAGTCAGTGACAATCAACCTTTCCCCACTTCAGTTTGGCCTTGTGCCATATGAAATATAATATTTCAAAATAAAAACATTTTGTTTGGTAAGAACATTATCAGAACAATTGAAAAAATAAAACTTAGCAAAAATTGTTATCATGGTAATTTTGTTGGTTATTTAATACCCCCAATTTTTTTTTCTAAAATTAAATATGTAGTGTAGTGTTACTGACTCATAAGAAGTAGTATGCACTCAACTGTCCATGGGTAATAGCCGCAGCTATTATAATCTTTGTGGCTTCCTATGTAAATAAGTCACCTAATCTCCTTGTCCCAAAGAGGTTTTATCTCCTTTATTTCCCTGGTATTTCTTCTGGGAGCTTTTGTTTTCTCACTATCTTCCTTCCTTTTCCTAAGTCCTTGACCATATTCATAATCATCAAGTGATAATTCTTTATTCATTTTTTTTATATTGACAACGCGATTGTAGTATTACTGACTCATGGCAGGTAGTATGCACTCAACTGCTCATGGGTAATTTATAGTCTCTGTGACTTCTTATGTAGATAAGTCACCTCAAAATATATGGCTTATAAACAATCCTTTGGGTCATCTATTCCATCATTCTCTAGTTATGTCTTTAGAATGGAAGTTATTTAATACTATAATTTATGGTCTCTGACCAACCACCTACAGGTAGGCTAGGATAGTCTCTGCTTTTATCTTCTTGAAGAGGTCCTCTAGACTAGTCATGTCATAAAATCATTCATGCATAGGGGCAAGATTACAACAATCAGATGCCCTGTCAGCTGAGCCTTCAAAATATGTCAACTGCACCTCTGCAGTGGGGTAAGACCACCACCCAAAATATGGTGTGCTGGATAAGACAACAAAACTACACCTGCATCCTGGGTAAGACGATAAACTACATCCGACAGCAAGGCCTCTAAGGAGGGTTTGAGGAGCATGGAATCACTTCTTAATTGCTGGTGTTCCTAGGCCCACCTTGACTACGGGGTAGTAGCACCTG